ACATATTTTGTGAAAAACTAGTAAGGGGGTGTCTAGCTTAGGAGTGCTGATTTTTCCAGCCAGTGGCCAAGTAGAACAGGGCAACACGAAAAGAGGAAGTTTATCTATACTGAACTCTTTTATAGGGACTCTTTTGCTGAAAGTCCTAAAGTCAGAAGTCAGTGAAGACTTCTGGAGAAGGTCAGTTAAGACTTTTCTGTGGGCCTGGTACAGAGGGGGAAGACGGGAGTGAGTATCCCAAAAAGCCTGTGAGGGACTTGAAATTCTTAGTAACCTGTTTTCAGTGATGATAAAGCAACTTTAAAGGCCATTTTCATTACATCTTGGATAGGGGTCTGAGGGCTCTCCTCAGCTGGTTTGAGCTTTGGGTTAGCTGGTAAGAGAACCTGGTGGGACCCGGTGTGGGTACTGACAGGAGAAAAGAGGAGTGAGTGGGTGGAGGGGTACCTCAGTACCTGCTACCTCAGCAAGGGGGCAATGGTCTGAGAACTGGCGGAGGTTTGGGTTTTTGATCTAGTAATTGGAGGGGAGAAATCAGGTTGCTGAGGTGGGAGTGACAGCAGAGAGTCTGGAGCAGAAGGCTGAGGGTGAGGATCTATTGGAGAAGCATAGTTTGGGATGTGAACGAAGGAGGGAAAAGGCCTCCACATAGGGGAATCTCCTTCCACCCTTTTGAGCACTTGCAGAAGTTTAAAAGGTCACACAGAATTTGAGGATCTAGAGACCCCTCTGGGGGCCATCGGTTTTGGTTATCTAATTGGTAATATGGCCAATGCTGTGTACTGAATTTGATGAGGAGTTTGGGTTCCATTAGGCAATCCCTGTATGCTCACATCCTTATGACTTACAGAAGAAGTCGGCTTTTCCCCCACACAGCAGTGACTGTGGCTTTGATAGTCTGCCAGGCAAACATAGTAATCTAGGTTAGCCAACCTGCATCTGGTTCACGTGTCCCTATATCCATAATGTTTGTTTCCATTATATGGTATGGAAGGGATTTAATGGAATTTTAGTGGGATCCTCTTCATCAGGGATATCCCAATAGGAAAGACCTATAGCCAGCTGACAAATGTCTGGGTGGAGAGATGGCCACCAGGTCCCTAAGGGGGCTGTATGTGAGATAGACCATACTTCTTGTCCAGTAGGATTTGTGATCAGCCACCGTTGCTGAAAAGGCTGATGAGGGTTAGGACTACCGGTGGTCAAGGGGAGAGTCTATAGCCCTATACACATGGTGAATACGCAATTTGAAAGGGTTACCAGTCTTTTTCAGTTTCCAGCCAGAGTCTGGACACGGCGCAGGCTTGAGATGAGAGGCATGGATCCAGGAAGTGATTCCGTCTACCTTTACTGCTGTAGGTGTTATAAGTAGCACCTGGTATGGTCCTTTCCAGCGGGGTTCCAGGGATGACACCTGATGTTATCTTATGTAGATGAAGTTTCCCACTTGATATCTGTGTGGAGTCCTTTCGTCCCCAGGTTGGTAGGCAGTGGCCAGCTGTTTTCATGGGTATCTCTGGGTTCTTTTAAGAGCTTTAAGTCTGTCAAGCAAGGGGGTGTGAAAGGAATCCTTAGGTCTTAGAGTTGGGGTTAGGTCCCTTACTGGAGGAGGGGCACGATAGAGAATTTCATAGGGGGTGAGGTTACACAAAGAAACGGAGTATTTTTTTGCACGAAACAGTGCATAAGGCAGGAGCATAGTCCAATCTTTTATGCCGGTCTCTAAGCTTAATTTCGTTAAGGTCTCTTTAATGGTTCTATTCATTCTTTCTACCTGTCCTGAGTTCTGGGGTCTATAAGCACAATGTAACTTCCAATTAATCCCCAGGGTCCTGGCTAACCCCTGACTTACCTGGGCCATGAACGCTGGTCCATTATCAGACCCTATTACCTTAGGCAGGCCGTATCTTGGAAAAATATCTTCCAGGATCTTCTTGACCACCATTTGCGTTGTTTCTTTTTTTGTGGGGAAGGCTTTAATCCATCCTGAAAATGTATCTACAAAGACTAGGAGATATTTAAGTCCATACCTTGCTGGCTTAATTTCAGTAAAGTCCATTTCCCAGAATTGTCCTGGTCTGGTTCCTCGTAGGTGCTTTCCTGCAGGAAGCTTGGAAGGGTAAGCACTAACCAATTGACAGACCCGACAGACTTTTGTTACCCGTTCAGCTATTTCCTTTTGCTAAGAGTCAGTTAGTGGAAAACTCTGTTCTTGATCTTTCAGGAATGCCTGCAGTTTCTTTGAACCAAGGTGAGTGAGTTGATGTACATTTTTAATGTAGTGTAGGGCTTTCTGAAATTGCAGGCTAGGCTCAGTGAAGTCGAGGAGTTCAGTGTCAGTGTCCTTAGATATTAAGCTGTCAGGGTGCTCCGATGTAGTTAAATCTCCTGACTTATGTTCCCCCGGTGTGGAAAGTGTTAACATGGTTACTCCGTTTAAGGCTGTCAATTTAGCCTCTTCATCCACCCTCCTGTTAGATGAGGGTGGTATCTGCACAACGGTTTGTTTTCTGGGCTCAGTGAGCCATCGTTTACTGCCCCTAAGGGAATAGCCCAGGAAGATTTGCTGGCAAATTTGGGCCTTTTTGGCAGAAGCTTTATACCTGAGTTGAGCAAGCTTGGATAATAGTGCTTGGGTCCCAGACTCACAGTTTTCCTTGGTGTCGGCTGCCAGTAGCAGGTCATCCACATATTGAAGCAGGGTGATTTTGGGGTGCGTAGTTCTGAAGTTGTTGAGATCTCTGGAGGGCTTCATCAAAGAGAGTGGGGGAGTTTTTGAACCCCTGTGGGAGTCTGGTCCAAGTTAGTTKACCAGACGTTCCGGTTTCTGGGTTTACCCACTAGAAAGCAAACAGCAACTGACTATCTTTATGCAGAGGCAAGCAAAAGAAAGCATCTTTTAAGTCCAAAACAGTGTACCATTTTCGCTCAGGGTTCAGAGTGCTAAGCAGATTGTACGGATTAGGTACTGTGGGGTGAATGTCCTGCACTCTGTTGTTGATCTCTCTTAGGTCTTTAATGGGGCCATAGTCCCCGGTTCCTGGCTTTTTTACTGGTAGCAGGGGAGTGTTCCAGGCCGACTGACAGGGCCTTAGGACCCCTAAGGCCAGATATTTCTGAATATGGGGCCTTATCCCATCTTTAGCTTCTTTGCTCAGAGGATATTCTTTGACATTAATTGGGGAGGCTGAGGTTTTTAACTCCACTGTATTGGAGGTTGTTTTACTGCTAGGCCTAACCTAGCAGTTTCTGCCAGGCATCTGGGTAATCTGTTATCCATTTCTGGGGTAGCTTGCCTGTTTGATCAGTCTTGGGGGGGGGGAAGAGTTGATGTTTATCTTCTACTGATATAGTTAAAGCCATGACTATAGGAGTTTTTACTGAAGGATTTAGAAATTCCATTTGGGGGCCTTCAGGGTTAAAAGTTATTCTGGCCTGGAGCTTGGTGAGCAGATTTCTGCCCATCAATGGGGCCAGGCATTCTGGGATCACTAGGAAGGAGTGATGGACTTTTCTTTTCCCCAGGTCCATGGTCCTCTTAGTTGTCCAAGCCCGATATTTACTGCCGTTAGCCCTTTGAACTAGAGACCTTTTATTTGATAGAGGGCCCAATGGGGCCTTAAGGGCTGAGTATACTGCCCCTGTATCCACTTCAAAGTTTACTGGGGTCCCCTCCACTTCAAAAGTTACCCTGAGTTCAGGGAGGGGATTTGAGCCCTGACTTTCTTAGTCATCCTCCAGAGACAGAATGGCTGGCTGGCGTGGCTGTCTCTTTCTAGGGCACTCTTTGGCCCAGTGTCCTTTTTCTTTACAATAGGCACATTGATCTGAGGCCAGGGGTGGCCTCTGGCGTGGGCCCAGGTATCTCTTCCTGTCTCCCTGTTTCTTAATTTCTGGCCTATTTGTTGTTGTGACCAGGACCTTAGTCAATGCCTCAGTCTGTCTTTTGCTTCTTTCATCCTCCCTTTGCTCCCTTTCTTCCTCAGTTTCTCTCTTATAGTATACCTTCTCRGCTTCTCTGACTAAATCTCTCAGAGTCATATCTTGTAATCCATCTAAGCGTTGTAACTTTCTTTTAATATCCAGGGCAGCTTGCCCAATAAAGGCCATCGTGACGGATGCCTTTTGATCCTCTTCCTGAGGATCGAAAGGAGTATATCTCGTATATGCCTCCATAATTCTTTCTAGAAACATAGAGGGAGATTCATCAGGCCACTATTAGAGACCAGTGAAAAGTGGACAGATGCTCCCTACCTTCAAAAGTGTTGGGGTCCCAGTTGGGTCGGTTCAAGGGGAAGTTGGCTTCAATTATGTTGGGAAGTTGGGTCGGTCGCCCATCTGGTCCGAGGATATTTTTTCTAGCTTCCAGGAGGATTCTCTCTCATTCCTCTGTCATGAAGAGAGTGCCTAGGAGTTGTTGGCAGTCATCCCAAGTAGGCTGGTGTGAAAACATAAATGACTCAACCAGACCTGTGAGCCGGGTGGGGTCCTCGGAAAAAGGGGGATTGTTATTTTTCCAGTATTATAGGTCTGAAGAGGAGAAAGGCCAATACTGGTAGGCTTGCATTTCTCCCCCATGGCCATTGTCAATCATTGGCCCGTAGGGAAGGAGGGGGAGTATCTCAGGGGCTTCAGGGTTTTTAATCATTCGCCGCCGGCAAGTTCCTTTAGCTGTGCCAGCTCCCTCCAGGGGAGGAGGGGCTGTGTGTGCCGCGGGGGAGTCATCTGGAGGGCGCTGGGCTGGCTCAGCTTCCTCCAATGGTGGAGAGGCTGAGTCAGCAGCAGGGGAATCACTTAGAGGGTGTTGGGGGTTGGGGCGACGAGGGCGGAGGATAAGGAGAGGGAGAAGAGTCCAGTAGAGTCAAATCTTGAGACTCAGGGAGAACAGAGGGTGGTGGAGGAGGAGGAGGAACAGAGGGTTTGGGAGATAGAATCATGGGGGAAGGAGTATGAGCTGGAGCAGGGACAAGGAAAGACTTCACCCATGGAGGAGGAGATTCACAGAGGTCCTGCCAAGTTAAGATATATACCTGTTGATCTGGATGGCTATGTGGCCCCGGCTGAAAGACAAAGACAATATCTCTGACTTCTTGAATTAGTGGGAAGTAGAAAGATCCTTCTGGGGGCCATTCGACACCCAAGGTGGGCCATTCTGAGGCACAGAGAGTTTGCCAGGTCCGGCGTTTTACTGAAAAAGAAAGATTCTGAGCCCTTAAGCGGACTTCGGTCCAGTGATCAAGGGTCAAGGACAGAGGCGTTGAAGTGCTCTGTCCCATAATGAAAGATACACAGTGAAAGCAATGACACATGACACAGACAAGACAAGACAATAAAGACAGGCAATAGATGTCCAACACTGAGACCAGGACTGAGTAGCCGGCAAAACCCTATGGGCTGGCAATACCGAATCCGAAACAAAATATCACCGAGTTGAGGAGACTATTGTTCCTCGATTTCCTGAGTCCTCTGGGGTGTCCCCCAGGGACATGGCCTGTGGCTCTGTGACACATCTGTCAGCCACCCTTCACCGACAGCCATTTTGCCAAGCTCTAACCTGAAACCTGAAACCAGAAAGAGGCGCCTTACTTACCCCGAGTGGAGCCCGTTTGGGGTCTTTCGTCGGTGGAACCTCCAGATGTAAAGGTCGGGCGAGCATTGGAGGAAGAGACCACCAAGAAACTGTCTCATGCAACAGCAAAGGGTTTATTGGGGGTCCAGCATGCTGGGGCTCAGAGCTCACTTGAATAGAGCAAGGAGCCCGGAGAACAGCTTAAGCAGAGCTTATATACTTTCCTTGGAGAGGGCAGGGAGGGAAGTTCATTGACGGGTCAGGGCGAGTAGGTGGTTTGCATGCAACCGGGTAAGGGAGTACATTCTGCAGTTTGACAGTTGGGAACAGCACATTCTGGAAACAAGATTAGCAAACAATTCTCAAGATTATTAACCTTTCACAATAAGTAGTACTATATGTGCCTTCATGCAAAAGAAAAGTTGTATATCCATATAAAAAAATGAAATGGAACACTTACCTTACACCATATATAAAAATTATCACCAAATGAATTAAAGATCAAAATGTGAGAACTGAAACCACAAAAACTCCTACTAGAAAACATAAGAGAAAGGCTCCTTGACTTTGGCCTTAGCAATGTTTTCTTGGATATGACACCAAAAGAACTGACATCACAAGCAAAAATAGACAAATGAGACCATGGAATTTAGAACACTTAGGTTCAGCAAAGGAAAAAATCAACAGGGCAAAAAGGCAAACTGTGGGAAATACTTGCAAACTGCAAATATGAAAAAAGAGTTAGTATTGAAACTACATAATAAAGAATTCCTACCACTCCACAGCAAAAGGAATTCAATTAAAAATGGGCAAAGGAGTTAGCAGACATTTCTTTAAAGGAGACATAGAAATGCCCAGTGAGGATATGAATAGATATTCAACATTACTAATCACTAGGGAAATGTAAATCAAAATTGGAACAAGATATTACCTATTAACATGCCATTATGCAAACAAAATAAAACAAGAAAAAATAATAACAAAAATATTGGTGAAGCTTTGGAGAAATTAGATCCGTTGTGCACTGTTGATGGGAATGTAAATGGTGCTCCTGCTATGGCAAACAATATGAGGTTTTCTCGAAAAATTAACACAGAATCATTATATAATCCTGCAATTCCACTCCCAGTGTGTTATTCAAAAGAACTGAAAACAGAATTTAAAAGAGATATTTGCATGTCCTTATTCATTGGAGTATTTTTGCAATAGCCGAGAGGTAGAAGAAACAACAGTTCATCACAGATATATGGATGAAAGAAAAAGCAATGTATATATACAAAACCAAACATTATCCTACCTTTAAAAAGATGGAATTTCTATCATATTCTAAACTATAAATGAACTTTTAGGACATTAAGCTAAGTGAAATAAGCCACTGGCAAAAATACAAATATTGTATCATTTCAGTTGTAAGAAGTATCTGAAAGATTCAAGCTCTGAAAAAAAAAAAAAAGAAAGCGGAAGGTTGTCAGAGGCTGAGGGGGAGTAGAAAAGAACATATTGTTCTAGGTTTATAAGCTGAAAATGTTCCAGAAATCTATTGCACAGCAAGTACGTATCATTAATACTACATATTTAACTATTGAATTTATTTAATTATTTAAGTAATACTATACATTTAAAATGGCTAAGATTTTAAATTTCATGTTGTATTTTTAAGTACAATTTTTAAAAATTAGAAAAGATGTCCCTCTCTTTTGTTTACTAGTGTAAAGTTCTTTCTGCACTTACAAACATTGAAACTAAGAATTATAGGAAGAGTAGGGATACACTTTATGCCAACATTACAGTGCAAAATTTTAAAAAGTTTCTGAATGTTAATTTTCATTCATCAACATGTTTTGCAAAAGAGTGGTGAGTTTTGATTAAATCTATAAATTAGCTGGAGGATAAGCAAATTCAACTGGTGTAAAAACGTTTGGAAACAAACATAATTGACTTGGTAAGCAAACAATTCAAGTAGGAAATAAAAAAGTGAAAATCATATGAAAAGAAACAGAGAAGACTGATCTCCAAAGATCACTGAGAAAAGTCAGCATAATGTACTTTAAGTTAAAATGTGTTCTAAGACATATATATATGTGTGTATATATATATATATATATATATATTTTTTTTTTTTTTTTCCTGTGTTGTTCAACCAGGGACAGTCTGGACCATAAAACACACTTCCATTTCTATCTCTCAATTGGTATTTCTACTACCAAAACATCTCAAAAAATTTCCTTCTCAAAAGTATTATTCTTTTTAAATGTTCCCCGTCCATATTTTGTTCTCAGTGCTATTTTAACATAAGCCATAAAAATCATAGAATTTCTGAGAAATTACAAATGTTTCACCAGATATATCTATTTTCCGATAATGTAGAGCTCTCCTGCTAGCATGAGTTTTAATGTCCCATTATTACTCAAGAATCTCATTACCACCATCTATTTAGCGGTAACCTCTCTGCTTAAACAGGGGCTGATCTAAGGGTTCCTTTGCCATCATAGGAAGCAACACATGGATTTCCCAGTTCCATTGGCAAGCACCATCCAGAACTGAATTTGTCATGCACTGAACTCATTGACTAAGTTAAAAATGGCCCTCCACTTTTCTTATTAACTCTTGGTAATGTGTCTCTCTGAATTAGAGCTTGAAAAGCTAAAAACTATGTTTCTGACCTTCCTGCATACAAATTAGGTCCAACAAATGAAAAACAATTTTTAAAAACTTGGAAGCATATTCCTAGGTAGAGGGAAATTCTTGAAGCTTTTGGTTCTTCTGACAAAGCCAAGTTAAAGAAAAGTGAAGGTGATGTAATCGTTTTACATGCCATAATCTTGATGCTGTCAGTGTTCAGCTTCTGTGGTGTCCAACCACAGGTACAGCAGAGGTAACAGTGGCAGCTTCTAGATTCCTAGATCGTAGTTTTCATTGGGTGCAGTTGGCTACCATATTTCCAAAGGCAACTCCCAAAATTGCCACCTTCCTGATTCCTGCAGAAATTTGTAGCTTTCCTGGCACAACATGTTTTTAGAGTGCTTGGAACCATTCCTCAAATCCCTGCTGAGAGAGCTTGCTCCTCCAGCCCTTTCAACAATTTTAAAAGCAGTTAATCCCCTTCTTAAATTTCTCAGAGTTTCCATTCCCTGCATAAAATCTTATAGATCTGTGCACTTTCTAAGTCCAAATAGACACTGTCACTTGAGAGTTTGAATAGTGCATATTCCCCTGGAGTTTGTATGTAAACCTTTGTGTAGAGAATAGACTGCAGCTGTGTTCAATTGTATATATATTGAACATAATTGTCTTTCTTGAGATGACTTATTTTGTAGTACTTGCCAAACCTGAACACAAATTATATTTACCTCCATTACTCTTAAAATTATATAACTAGGAACAGTTGCTACCAAACATTTGTAGAGATAATTCTAAAACATAGGTAATGTATAAACTGTTAATAGATACTACATATTAAAATTATTCTAGCAGGATGTGGTGGTGCATACCTATAATCATAGTGGCCAGGGAGGCTGTGGCAGGAGATTCTACCTTGAGAGCCAGCATCGCAACTGAGATCTAAGCAACATAGGCCCTGTTCCAGCCAACAAATAAATAAATAAACAAACAAATAAATATAAAGGGCTGGGAATATGGCTCAGTAGTTTAAGTGCCTCAGGGTTCAATCCCTGGTACCAAAAAATATATATTCTAGAAATGAGTTTCAAAATTTGGCAACTATCACTCTACGAGTCACAAAACTCTCTCACAAGGGACTTTGAGAAGTTTTGCAGTACGTAAAAGCCTTTGCTGGCACCCAACAGTTTTCCTAATGTACTTGGGAATAAAATATCTGTGGAGGACAAAAAAAATTATTACATTTTACTTAATAATAGCTTTTTTAAAAAAATTGGGAAATATTGACTTATGATGTTATCCTTATTATAGATGGGAAAATCATAATCTGAGAACACCATACCCATATTTTAAATGATTTGGAGAAAACTCTGTCAAGGACATGAGAAAATTGAGAGACCTCATTA